ATAGTCAATCACAGAGACAACAACTATCAATCGATAGGCAAGAGATCCATAGTGGTTCACCAACTTGGAAGTTTAGTTAGTCCACTTTAATGAAGTCTCTTACTCGGGGGGGGGGGGGGTTTCTATTATTTGGGAAAGAAGATTACAAGACTACAACGAGTCTATTCATAGATATTTTGATGAGCCCCTTCCAAAGCGAGAGATCGATCCCTATTTATAGTGTATAGGAGCTTTGAGTGATCCCTGGGTAGCCGTCATGATCCTTGCGTAACAACCGTGATCCTTTCGTAACAACAGAGATTTTTGCGTAATCAACGTGATCCCTCGAGGGTTGTCACTACTCATGTGTCGAGAATATCTTAACATTAAAAGCTATATTATTTAGGCGTGACGTGACTTTCTAAAAGATTTGAGCTGTTGTTCTCATAGTATGCTTGAGGGAAGACCTGAGCTCGAAGGTTTGAGTTGGAGACCTAAGCTCGAGGTTCGATCTTGAAACCTGAGTTGAGAGGTCTGGGCTGAAAGACTAAGAGGTCTGAGCTAGAATACCAGAGCTGTCAGGTCCGAGTTAAGAAACCTAAGGTGGAAGACTTGAACTGCTTCTAGGCCGAACTTAACCTTGTATAATTTTTGGTATCATCATAAACTAATAAACTTTATTTGTAATTAGTTACAATGCTAAAAATTAAGACAATGGGGAGTGAATGTTTTTCCAATCTCTCTCTCCTAATTCGATTCTTTTATGAAAATGGATAGACTAAAGGTGGACTCCTATTAGATATGTTTTGTAGTGTTAATGAAAGATGAGAAAAATGAGATTAGAAAAGAAAAAAAGAAAAAAAAGGTGAAACAATGAAAAGGAGGACAATTAGAAAACAAAGGCAAAAATAGAAAAATTAAGAAATTTGTGGATGAAGGCTTGTCACACATTCTCTCATATAATTTGATTCGTTTATATACATAGATAGATTTGCCGACATATATATTCTCTTATAAAATTGTGCATCTATATCATTTCTCAAAATTAGACCATAAATAAACATACAAAGCCAAATGGTTTTGGCATAGGTGGTGGCACCGGGGCTTTATGTCCTCAAATTGGAACTATTTTGTTGTCATTGAGATATTATCATTTATTTTCGAGCTTTTGTTTTTGTTGGTTAAAATTTTCTAACAACGCACTTTTGAGTAAGAATAGTAGTTCGATTTATATCAACGATTCTTTTTATTTTTTTTAATTACAATTTTTTTTTTTTGAGTCGTGCCTTCGGGCACGGGTATCAGACCATAAATTAACATACAAAACGAATGAAATTTTGCTCACAGAACCCAATCAAAAGATAATAGAAATCATCACATTCCTTCATTCATTCCCTTGAACTCTTCCTTCTCACCCTTTAAGCCCTTCTAAAAGCCCTAAAAGCAAATAAAAAACAAAACAACAATAACAACAACAACAGTAACAACTTCATACACACAACAAGCCTTCTTATATAAGCAATAGTAGATTTTTTGTTTCCAGCAGACACTGTAATTAAGTAAAAGTTAGGGGTCTTGCTGGTCAAACGTCGGTTGACTGAGGGAGAAGTGGCTGAGCAAGGGACGACTTGATGTGGGTTGATGTCCTGTTGTTACTGTGGTCCGCCGGGGACTGAATCGTAGGCTTTTGCATTGCGATCTTTCTTTCTTCGTTCTTTCCCCAGAGCACAAAGTACAACCCTGCTATGATCAATACTGCCCCTATGATCCTGTACATCGCACCAACAATCAAAGTTTTCCATAAGACTTAAAAATCAATCGAACCCCAGAAAGTTTTGGCCTATTGCCAAATGGCCCTATAATTTCATATCCATTTCATTTATATCCCCCTATGTTTTGCAATGTTGTACCATTTGTTTCTCGTAACTTTATAGCTTGTTTGGGAGCGTCGAGGAGTGTTTCGTTCCAATCCCTTGGATCGCTCCTCATTTTATTTCTCAATTCAAAGAGAAAAAAAACACAAAAAAGGATGAGTACTCCTGTAAAACCCGACAAAGTTATTATCAATGAATTCCCGAGCAATTCTCAACTAACATATTCAATTCATTCTCATAAAAATTATAGTACATAGAAGTCATTTGATTTTTTAAAAAAATTTACATATAATTTATTATACAAAAATTGAATTAAAACATAGATAACTGTATAGAATATTGGTTTGTTGGTGATATTTTGAAAAAAAAAATGATCCAACCTTGAAAGAAGTAAAAAATTTTTTTAATTCAATGGTTAGAAGTGTTCCGACTAATTTATGCGTACTTCAATTAATTCCCGTAAAAAATAGACTATTCATATTGGAACTAGAATATTTATGAAGACACGAGACCAGAGTATTTCGCTTATAGGGGATAGGAAAGGAACTTTAACAATTATCCATGCCATCATAAATGCCACCATGAAACCAGCAGGCCTATCCTTGACTGACCTAATTTGCAATCTTCCAAACACTCCCTTTAGATTTTAAAGACCAAAACACCCTTTAATGGCTGGGATATACTTGTTAATTTGGCAAGTCAAAGGTGCTGGTGTACACACTCAAATACACCCAGCTAATCTATGGCTGGGGATGTTCATGTGGGGTATTCTTCAAGTGCATAATTGAAGAGCTTTGAACTGAGAAATGAACAGACTGTGTGTGTGTGTGTGTGTGTGTGTGTGTGAGTGAGAGAGAGCGAGAGAGAGTAGGCTTACCCTCCCAAGTAGAACTCCTCGCCTAAAGCGACGGAAGCCATAATAGCGACAACGAGGGTCTGAACAGGTTGATAGACAGCCACGAAGACGGGGCCACCCCTGTCAATGCACCATATCTGTACAGCGAATGCAATCCCAGATGCTACCACCCCCTGCATATATGCCCACATTCACATCATTTCACAACCTTCCAGACACATTCCTTTCATTTTCAACACCCACTTCTAAATCCTAACTATATCTACCTGTATTATGTACAGACTACACAGTTGCCCAACAATGGAAGAGAGAGAGAGAGAGAGAAGGAAACATTGACTTGTCATTTACATCCTATGAACTTGGTGAGTTTTAGTCCCACCAGTCTATCGGTTTATAAAAATATCAAAATTTTCATTTCGATATATAGTTTAGACCAACTCCCAATCACTGTTTTTGGAAAAAAAATTTAAAAGAACGATAGAAAATTGATATATTTCGAGATGTCCGAAACATCCTAAACAAGAATTTCGATTTTCTGTTGCTGATTCCATTTGCAGAACACAAAGCCACAACAAGCCATTTTCGTCCCCAACTTAAAGAAAAATGCAAACTGTATCAGGAAGAATATGCAACACAAAAATACTAAAAAGATCAAAGAGAAACGCTCTGTTATAGTGGTATCTTAGACTAGGAATAACTGAGGATTACTATGAAACAGGCACAAGAGTCCAAGGCCCTATGGTCTAAAGATGCATTTCTCTGTCATCACTCTCTGTTGGTCACAACAATATCTATTTGGCTTTACTGAGCCATCTAAATTCCGATTACTAGACTCACTAGAGTATAACATAAGTTTTTTCGAGTACTAAACCCAAAAAACACAAGTTTTTGGGTAACATAGGGGAAGCAAAGCCACATGGTGGACAGGAAAGCTGCCTATATCTTCAACATCCAGAGGTATTATTTTAGTAATTTTTTGAGATCTTCTTTTTAATCAAGATGATGAACATTAACACACTTAAACTCATTTACCATTTATGTATAGTCGAGTTTAGGTCATGTTAATTTCTGTACTCAGTGTTCATGATAACTCAATTCATTTGATACAATAACATGTACAACTATTTATCACCCGAACTAATTAAAAATTAAATCAAAACTCACTAATTTTACGTCGATTTTATAAGTTAAATCTAAAATTATCGTGTTTAGTTTTCCATATGTATAGAAACAAAACTGGAATTAAAAACTCAGATGAGTTAAACAGAGTGCACTTACAGCATAGAAGACACTGAAAAGCTCACTACCAGAGTGAATAAGCCATGCTTGTGCGTCTCTCTCAAGAAACGCAGCAATAACAAGAAACTGTATGATCCCAAAGAAACACTGGTACGAGGTGAATGAGAGCCGGGCCGGGTACTTCTTGAGAATCGGAGCCTGCAAAACGAGCCAACCGGACCATGACAAGCAATGCCCTATCAAGAATAAACAACCAAGAGTCCAGTTCTTGCCCTCTGCATCTCCGAGTGCAAGCAACGCCGGTGAAGTTCTCTGTAGCGGCGGACCTGGGCTGTATATTGTTGGACCCTTGTACAGAGTAATGACTGAAGCTCCGGCAACACACAAAACCGTTCCCATCACCTTTGATATTCCATCTTTCCGATTCAGTCGTACTTGTTCAAGTCTAAAATAACAGTACAAAACAGTCATATAAGCAAACTGATCAAGGCTTTTCAATATGTATGTGAAAGTGTTTTTTTTATTTTCCTTTTTCCCTTTTTCCCTTTTTCCCCGAGGTGTTCATATGACTAGTAGAGTGTGAACTTACCGGAGTATTACTGCCATGAGAAATGTAATTGCTGGGACAGAGTTTTGTATTGCTGACGCAAAAGTGGGTGATGTGTTTTCCAAACCCAACAAGTAGAATCCCTGGTTTGCTGTTATTCTGTTATGTAAGAGAGAGAGAGAGAGAGAGAGAATTAGTCTTAAAATGAGAACATGTTTCTGTAATATGTTTGTGTGTGTGTGTGTGTGTGTGTGTAAATAATGGTGACTGCATGTGTGTTTTTCGTGTTCTTTGGCCATACCCAACAATGGCAAGAAGAAAGAACTGGACGGCAAACGAAAGAGAAATGGGTGGTCGCTCTTTCCTGATAAAAGAAAAAAAGAATGAAAAAGAGAACAACACATTATTGTTTGCCTAATAAAGGATTGATTATCAGTTGCGAATTCAACCCTATACAAGTTTGTTTTTAAGGAAGATCGACATACTTTTCCAGAAAATAAGCAAAGGGCAAGAGAAGTAGGAACGCGAGGATGTTCCTATAAACTGGGAACACGATCTTGCTTATGCCCATGTTAAGGGCCATTCTTGAAACAACATGAAACCCAGCATACCCAAACTGCAAGGCCAACATGGCCAAATGCAGTTGAACCCTTTCGGGTATCGAACAACACATTCTCTTAACAGTGCCTGAGCTGGTTGCATCTGCCATTGGAGAAGCAGACACCGAACTAACTTGAAGGAAATGGAGATCAGAGAGAGAGAGACGAAAGAAAAGGACAATGTTGAGTTGTGGAGAGTTAACGGGGGAGTTAGGAGATATAAATATACAATTTAGAAGAGATCGAGATTGAAGAAATAGAGAGGGTGGGTGTTGGAAGGGTATGACCCACAGCAGGCCCTAAAAAGACGTTATGTCAACTGTTAGTAGCCTTCAAATGTTTTCGGTTGTCTCCCACATTCTTCTCTATTCCACCCCCTCAGCTGACATGACAACCCTAATCGCACTAATGAAGAAAAAGAGACCAGAGAGAGAGAGAGAGACTCATGGATGTGTTGTGTATCCTAACAGGTTCTGTTTGGCAGCATGCGATTAATGATGATAATTGAAGAGGGGGAGATAGAGAGAGAGAGAGAGGGGCAAAGCCGCCATTGATAGATAGCGCGCACGAAGGGGAGGGGGTGGTAGGTTACACCATGCGTCCTCAACCCCCATGAAAGCTTAAACCCCACCTCAAATCCCCACCACCCCCACGCACACTAGAGAGCTTTGCGTTTCTTGTATTTTGCAGCTATATGTCTATACCTATAATATGACCAATATATGCTACTTTGGTATTCTTTTTGCTTTCGATGAACAATATAATATCAGTATAATATAGTTCACTATGGCCGTACAAGCACCACACATTCCCATCAATCACAACCATTCAATTTCCATGTATAATAGTGATTCAGTTAGATTTCTAACAGTGATATCTTGTGTTTGTAATAATGATTTGATTAAACTTAATCGTGTTGGTGATATACTATTTTTGTAATATTGATCTAATAATGTTACGTGTTAAAAAAAATCACTTTGTAGCCCAAATCCTTCAACATTCTATCAATGGGCATGCACTTAGCACATTATACATCCAAGCCCGCGTCCTTAATCCACATGATTTAAGATGGCGTACATTTTTTAAGAACATAGTACAAACTCAAGACAAACTGCGTACAAATCTTTAATGGAGGGTTATTTTGTTCCTAAAATGAAGTCACTTCAAATCCAAACAATCTTTTTTTGCAACTAATACGATGTCGTTTTAGGAACAACCACTCTACTAAACAATAATGGGTGCTAAACCCGCCAAAGAAATCCATTAATCTTAGATTAGCTCTCTTAGAATAAGATTCCAACATTTATTGAGTTCTTAGGGGTGGGGGTGGGGGTGGAATGTACCCCTCTTTTACTGGTAGAGCACCATAGTGTAAAATGTAGCGGCCAACAGAAGGAATCCATCTTTTTTTAGGGAAACCCTTTTCTTTGATGCATTAGCATATCTTAATCAAATGACATAAAGGCTTTGATTAGATATTAATCCCCCTCTTAAAGAAACCTAATTAAGTGTTTCCACTAAGGTTTTTCATACCCAAAGCTTTCTCAAGTGTGAGTTGTGGGTCTCATATCCCCACACCTTTACTTTAAGAGACATGTTGTCCCCCCTCAATTGAGACCACCATCATTCTAAAATTTTGAAAAAAAAAAAAGAAAAAAAAGAAAAGGAGAGAGGCCTGCTCGAGAAGAATATATATAGTACACACACTAGCCTTTTGATCTTTAAAGTAGTTTTTTTGTCTGACAGCCATGCTATGTAAAAATAAAACCAAAGATAAAAAGGGAGTCAGTAATCGACGAATGGTTTGACGAATGGTTTGTTTAAGGGGTAAGAACTCGAATTTTCTCTTTCAATACTTGAGTTTAAGTAATATAACTATAACAACTTGTTGGAATTAAACTTACTCTTTAGTGCTCATAGCACTCGATGAAATCTTAGCTTCAATCCCAACATAAATATGTCGAGGTACCTTGTAAATAACTATGCGGTGCTCACGAGACAATACACTCTAATAAATATATGAAGTGACTTATTTGAATATTTATTTTTTACAAAAAAAAAAGGTTAGTTAGTGGGAAAAGAGGAGGACTGACCTGACCCGGCAGGCATGTACCGGTCGGACACCGCCCTGACCAAGCCAGCTTGTAATCTTCATTGCCATCTGCCTATCTTCATCCTCTTTTAGGTCACATAAGTACAGGCCTGACAGCTACAAGAAGATTTGGTTTGCACGAGAGAATCTTGTGGCCTGGCCTTAGGCCGGATTTCGACTCGACTCCTATGACTCACTCCAACATTCCTTGGACATGCACTTGATTTTTTTTAATTCCGAATAATCTCAATCATTTTCTTTTTATGCACTTGAGTTTTTCTAATTCCGAATAATCTCAATCATTTTCTTTTTACTCTCATCTCAAATTTACCCTTATAATAATAAATCTAGCACCTTAATTTGATCTGAACAATAACGTTTGAGTTTACACTTCATCCAGGGGAGACCAATGAACCGATACTTGCGGTTTTCCATTTGAGATTGTTGATAAGTATTGTGACAATTAATCCATGAGATAAAAAAAAATGGGACACCCTTTTGCTTGACTTTAACAATATATTCGGATTTTGAAGCGGAAAGAAGAGGTCCCATGTTTCAAAATGGTAGGGCAAAGTAAAGGAAGATAGTGGACTTCCAATTGATCCATGCGGGTGTATATTCGTACATAGCATCTACAAAAAGGTAAATACAATATCTAGGATAGAGATGGAGGATATTCTTTGATATAGTATGATGGTATTATCTCTTTAAGGATCGTGGCCGAAAGTTCTCATCTTTTTTTTTTTTTTTTTTTTTCGATTTTGTTTTGTGGAATTTAGACATTTTAGTTGTAATACTAAGGGTGCCAATTGATTCTATTTGAATCATGTAATTTTAAAGTTATTATCATATTCGTATACATTTATGTCATGTTGATATAACCCGTGAACTAGAAATCACAAAATTAGAAACCCTCTCAGTCAAATCGGTGTAAGTGCCCATTAATTGAAACGCTAATTAATCCATATACTAGTAGACCCAAACATAAATCACTTGATTCTACAAATATTCATCCAATGGAAGATCAAAAAGTTTTATAAAAATTACAAATATTTTCTTTTTAGCAATATTATTTTAAATGGAGTTTTTTAAACCAGATTTCTTTTGTTTGGCATTATTACAGATTAATTTTTATTTATGTTAATTGATCGTGTTATTTTTTTAATTCATATGATAATATTTTTGGAATTGTGACGTAATATTGTGTCATATCGAAAATTAATGCCTCCGGCAATATCACCCAAAAAAGGGTGTCCATGATGGAAAGAATGGGGAAGTCCTGATATTATCAGAAACCTCAAGGATGTCGACGATATTATCCCTATTTTTTAAAATGAGAACGATATTTTTTATTTTATTTTTTTTGCGTTACCAACACATCATGTGCAAACACATGGTATACCAACGGCCGTGGTTAAATTAAGTCCCAAAAATGTACAAATATTAGAATTTTTAATTCTCGTCCAACTCATAACAATCTTCAATTGTTCCCATCCATTGAGATGTGCAAATTTGCACATGGGTTTAAGTCTGATAATTGAGCTAAATTACTTGAATTCGACTTAGATAAGATTTGACTCAAGTTTGACTCGTGATTTAAACGAATCGAACTTGAATAATTGTTTAAACTTGTTTAAACGAACCTAAAAAAACTCGACTTGACCTCTCAAAATTCAACTTACTTATATGTAAAATAATCGAACTACTCGGACTTGACTTAAATTCAACTTATTTTGGGTTCGGCTAGAATCCATCTTATTTTTAAAACAAGTCAAGGTTAAATAAAATTTTAAACTCGTTTAAAAAAAAGAGCTCGATAAACTCAGACTCAACCATGCAAAACTCAGGTTGATTAACAACCTTAAATGAATTCTATTTGAAATTTGTTTCAGTCCGTAGGGCATTAATAATTAACTTGTAATAATAATGTCATCAAACTATTATATTCTTGGACACTTTTACTTAGAAGGAAATTAGTTTTTCCTTTTCTTTTGTCATTTATAATTACAAAGTTAAACACATTACCTCATTCACGCCAAACATAGAAGTAACATCATGATACGTGTGTGTCTGAGTTTGTACCGCAACAATCAAATGCTTGTTGTAAACCTTTTCACTTATTGTCAATTTGTTTCGATTGAATATCTCTTACTAGAAGTAATCTACGCCCCAAAAAAAGGTACAACATAAGTAAATAGTAATAGATTTAGGAAAAATTCAGTGTGAATAATTTTGAAATAAATGTTAATGACCATTAGATGAGTCAATTTAATTTCATCGAATAGACTTATTAAAATTTATTCTATTTTATATTATAAATATAATATCAAAATGAAGTCTTGAGCGATAAATCGCATTTCTCATCCATTTGTCTGGTTTTTTTGATTTGTTTGTTGATTATAACGAAGATTGTTATCTTACATTAAAAGATCGCGATCATCCAAAGTTAGTTATATGGTTAAAGGGTTTCGCCATCCATCCCCAAATTTGATGTTGGGTTGAATAATCTTACCGTGCTCTTAGAGCTTGCTTCACCCGATTTGCAGGTTGATTCTGCACATAAAAAATATGGTGTTATGGTCACGAGTTTAAAATGCATATGATTGGAGCGGTTACACGATATCAACAAAACATAAAAGCCAGAGAATTCCAGCAGTTTCAATGCACAAAGATCATTTTCAGCACCATTAAAACAATGTTGATGAGTCCTCAGACAACATGAAGACTTTGTTTCCAGTGGCATAATATCATCTAGTTGAGGGTGGACAAATGCTGTTTCGATCACATTGGGTGCTGTTGATGAGTCGCCTTCAGTGTTGGAGATTCCCTCTACATAATTTCTAGTATTTTGAAATCAATTCAATTGAAACTTGATAGATATAAAGATTCTTTGCTTTCAATCTAGTAGTCTATTCCTATCCATAATCAAGTTAAGGGTTTCTAGCCTGCATTGAACTCCCTCATATATGTCAAGTAAACATCATTTTATTTTTGATTGAATTTGGGCGGTTCACTGACTCATGGGTGGGTCACTACTTCAATGGAACATAACATCAAACAGGTACTGCTCAACTCCCTCCCAGCCC